AGGACGACAAGCCAGTCCCTCTAGTGATGTCCACCCCTATCCCTTTTCCAGTCTGTCTGTCCTACACTCCATTCCTGCGCGTCGGTCTCTAAAATACTCGAAGAACTACTCTGGGGACATCTGGTGGTAACTGTGCAACATTACAGCCAAGCAGGGCCTGGCAGAGACCAGGTTGTACATAGTGACTTAGGGGCCCGGGATTTTTATTTTCAGTGGTTTCACACACCTGATCATTAACCTTACCCCAGATCAACTAAACAAACCCTAAAGCACTAATCTTACCCCTTGGGATGCCACTGATGAATGGTGAAGGCACATGAAGACTGGTGTGCAATGTTTCATGTGCCCACTCCCCCTCCCAGTCTGTCCTGACTCATTTTGACCAGATGGTCACCCCAGGATGGTTCTCAGGTAGGACTAGTCATCTTACGTGAGTTTTGTTCTCTCTTCTCAAGGGTCATGGAAGGGGGAGACTTCTGCTTCCAAGACCACATGTTCTGGGATGACAACATGACACGCTCTGCCCACTTTTTCTAGCAGAGCCCTCAGCCCAAGTGCGGGCCGCAGCACAGCCTGCTCTGACCCCCTTCTGGGGGGCGGTTAGGGGGGAGACTCAGAGATGCAGTGGCAGGCCCATGGAGACAACCAGGCTTCTCCACCAGTCCTGCCTTGGAGTCAGGGTCCTCTTGGGACTTACCCTTCACGCCCCACCCCCGGCCTGCCTCTCCCTCTCTCGTATGCCCACACCTCAGTCCCCAGGGCAAGCCAGAAGGTTCCTTCCATCCCATCCACCAGGAAGGTCAGTCCTCACCTTCCCCATCCACAAGCAATTCATAGAAGAATCACAGATCTTTGATGTTCCTGAGACAAATAACATGCCTCTACCCTAGCTATTTTACCATATCCACGGAAGTTTTGGGAGAACATTGTGTCTTCAGCCCTAGATGTTATTGAAGACTGGTCTGTTTCTCAAATGCCGGTACTGACCCAACCCTTTTCTTGCAGCGTATAGCTTCTGGCCTGGGCTTGGCCTGGATTGTTGGACGAGTTCTTTATGCTTATGGCTATTACACAGGAGGTGAGTACATCACGACATCTGCCAAGGAAACAAATTTAAAAATCCCATGCCACTGTATTTTTCTTCTTAGCGGGGCTTTAAGAAAAGGGGAAGTACTTTGATGTTTAGGGGGAAGGTCAGGTATCTTCCTTCTCACTAACCTTTGAAAAGTAACAAAACTATTAGTACTGAGCACTTTCTGTGTGCCAGTTGCCGCTCTGAGATCCAGAGTATGCTGCTTAGCCTGATAGCATTTCTGTGATGCAGATAGTGTGTCCTGTGCTATAGATGGAAAACTGAGGCTCAGAGCTACTTGTGTAAACTGGGAAGCCGGGATTTAAACCCAGGCAGCCCGACCCCAGAACCCCTGCTCCTAACTCACTACGGTAAGTGGTTGCCCGAGAGAGAACAGGGAGAGACTCTTGGCTCTCCTTACCTCTTGAAAGTGGGGGCACTCCCAAAGGTCCTGGAGCACAGTTGTTCTAATTATTATCCCCAGTTCTCTGAGGGTCCAGAGAAGACTCTGGGGACACATTTCTTGGCATGCCATAGCTGACGCACTGGCCACTCAGGCCAGGCATTGGTTGACCTCTTCAGACCAGATGGTCTGACGCGCAACCCCCGATGCCTTGCTAGAATGGCTTGTGGGTATTGACAGCATTGTCCTCTGTCTGGCACCTCCAGTCACCTCTGTTCTCTCTCCTGTTTCAGAGCCCAGCAAGCGGAGTCGCGGGGCCCTGGGCTCCATAGCCCTCATTGGCCTCATGGGCACAACCGTGTGCTCTGCCTTCCAGCACCTCGGTTGGGTTAAGACCGGCTTGGGCGGTGGGTCCAAATGCTGCCATTGAAGAACTACAGGGTCTTGAAAAACTCATTCGTTTTGAGTGACTTAACTTTTATTGTCAGTTACTTTTTTTTTTTCTAAATATAATAAAAACTTACCTGGCCTTAGCCTCATACCTAAACCTGACTCTTTGCTGATTTCTTTTTTGAGTCTCCTTCTAGAAGAAGTAGCCTGTTCTACTGGATGGGAGAGGTGGTGGGTACTGAGCCCCCTCCTCACCCTCCCAGAGGATGTTTACTGAGGTGAAGCTGGGGAAACATCTGGTTGTGGTAGTATGTTCATAGTCATGCCACAGCCGTGAAAAATTGGGGCCCAAGGAAGGAAAGTCTTTCAGCCTGAGTTGGGATATAAGAATATCTTACACTTACAGTTAACACCTACTGTAACAAGGATTATTTATTTATTTAAGGTTTTATTTAGTCATTTGAGAGAGCACAAACGGGGAGAAGCAGACATCCTGCTGAGCTGGGAGCCAGACATGGGGGCTCAATCCCAGGACCTGGAGATCATGACCTGAACTGAAGGCAGGTGCCACCAGCTGAGCCACCCAGATGCCCACTTTGAAAATTTCTATTAAAGATTGCTTCTACTGCAGCACCTGGGTGGCTCAGTCAGTTAAGTGTCCGACTCCTGATCCTGGCTCAGGTCATGATCTCAGTCATGAGGTCAGTCTCCACATCGGGCTCCTAGGCGTGGAGCCTGCTTAAGCTTCTCTCCCTTTCCCTCTGTCCACCGCCCCACTCTCTAAATAAGTAAATAAATAAAAACTTTTAAAGATTGCTTCTATTGCTTAAAAGCTCAAGTTATAGACTAATTTTATGAAACTTCACAGAGACACAAAGACCCAATAGCGTAGGTTCAAAACAGGGAAGGACACCGTCAGCACAAAATGGGGAAAACCAAACAGGTTCGGTTGACTTGGAGAAGGCTGCTGGCTGGTAGAATGAGGGCTGCCCCGGACAGAACGTGGCTGTGAATTCAATTCACGGAGGGGTAGCATCTATACCTGTGCTGCTCAGTACTGTAGCCACGAGCCACGTACGGCTGTTTACATTCAGATGAATAAACTGTAAGTAAAACTCAGTTCTGTAGTTGCTCTCGTCACCTTTCAAGGCTTCTTTGACCCACGGGGATTAGAGATGGGGTCTGCACCCAGGCCTGACTCTCAAATCCGTGCTTTGTCTACTCTGCTCCTCCATCACCTGAGGCTGGAGTGCTCTGCCTGGTGACTGGACTCGTTGGCCGTGGCCGCATGACCACCCAGAAGCCAGCAGTGTACACTCTTGCTGTAGCTAGGACATCTTCCCCAGCATGGAGCAAAAGGAGGAAAATGAGGGCTGTTTTCATAAAGCTTTAACTTGCATTCTTTTTATATTAAAATGTCCTTTATAATAAATGACGGTGTTTGTGAAAGGTATTTGAATATGAATGAATGAATATAATGAAATGAATGGTATTTGTGGTCCAGACTTGAGAAAAATTGACTTTATAACAGGCTAGGGTTATGGTTTCATTTTTTTGGTTTTTGTTTCTCGTGTTTATTTTTCGTAAGCAGTGCACCTCAGATGAGAGAACTTGTGGTTTCCTTTCACATCACACAGTCTGGGCATCAGGGAAGCAGCACAGGGGTGGCCTGGGGATGAAGGGACGTTTTCACCTTTGTTGCAAGTCTGGACGGGATGTAAAGTCATGTGATCCATCTTTGTCATTTTGCTCTTGTGGAATGGGCTCCAATGAGGTTTTATAGGAACCCCGCCACGCGAAATGATGCTGTGATTGAAGAGGGGAGCCCAGAGCTCGGCCTTTCCACTTCCCCAGGCGCCCCACCCAGGGTGCCTGAATCCATTGTGTACATCTCTGCTGCGGAGAGTAACAGAGCTACTTTCTGTTCAATTCCTTTGTCTCATGGAGAAAAAAAATTTTTTTTTGGTGTAAGTACTGCCCCTCACTGCTCGTCTAGCAGTGCATGTCCCAGAGTCGATTTATTTCTGTGGAGAAACACATTCTGGCCTTTGCTGTAGGAGACAGAGAACCATTTGGGTCTAATTACTCCACATTGCACCGCAGGGTACCCTGCAGCAGGGAGCTGTGTGCCCTCAGGACAGGTTTATTAGCCTCCCTTAGCCTCAGTTCACCCGGCTGGATGGGGATAATAACACTTCCCACAGAAAGTTCTTGAGCTCAAATGACAGCACAGGCACTTTGCATGCCAGACTGCACGTTGCACTCCCCGGCGGGAGGTGTGGGAAGCGCAGGCGCCCCCTGCTGGCAAAGCTTCATGCATCAGGAGGCAGCATCCAGGGGACCTGACCAACCTCTTAGGCTCTAAGGAGCCAGGGTTTGCCCGTGAGGGGGTTTGCAGAAGTTACCAGCAACTGGTGGTGAACTGGGAGCAGATGTCTCTCCCCAGTGTGGGTGGGCATCACCCAATCTGTTTGGGACCCAGCCAGAGCAAAAAAGATGGAGAAAAGGGGAGTTTGATCTCTGCTTGAGCTGGGACACCCGTCATCTTCTGCCCTCGGATGCCAGTGCGCCTGGTTCTCGGTTCTCAGGCCTTGGGACTTGGACTTAGACCCTCCGCCCCCTTGGTTGTTAGGCCCTCAGACTCGGACTGGATCACAGCCCCCGCTTTCATGGGTCTGCAGAGGGCAGACGGGGGGGCCTTCTCAGCCTCCATGATCATGTGAGCCGATTCTTCTAATAAATCTAATAAATCTTCCCTTACATCCACCTACCTGCTCCCTTTTCTACTCCGCTGTGTCTCTGGACAACCTGACTCACGCAGCTAATACACATAAACTGTTTCCCTAAAAGGCAGAGAAAGGGGCAGGACGAGGACCCCCACAACAGGCTGAGAACTTCCCATGGCCTGACGGCTCTGCAAAGACAGGCAGTGTGTGTCAGGACGGGGAAGGACACGAAGCCTACAAGTTCCCCGGGGCTACAGCATTCCTGACAGCCACGGAAGCCCAGCCTTGTGTCCCGAGTGCAAAGGACAAACCCCTGGCCTTCCACATGAAACCTCAGCCCTATTCTGCGGACTAGCATTCCGTGGAGACGGGGTTCATTTTAAAACACGAAGCTGAAGGGATTAACAGTGTGATTTATTTCTTTTTTGTGTGCTACAGTAGCATATAGCTAATCTGTATATATAAAAAAAGAGCAGGCTCTCTGTCCTGCGAGGGCCGGGGACTGATTTCCTCTACCAGCACCAAGTGGAAAAGTGCTTCCCTCTGGCAGGTAACCATCATGCAGAACGTGACCCTGTCTGTCATCATGATCCCGACGTGGGCTTTCTCAATGAAATGACAAGGGCCCAGAGCGTAAACATGTCAATGAGCAGGAAATCCTGTCCGCTTACTCCACCAGGAGCCTTAACTGGGAAATAGGTCTTTGAGGCAAACCGGAGCCCGAGCATCGTCAGTGGCTCAGATCTGTGGGAGGAGGATAATCCTGGTCCCTCTCTCCGTTCTCCAGAAGGAGGTGAAAGATTTCACAGACAAGTGCTTTGAGCACAACCGCAGCTTCCTTGATTAGTATCTAAAAGGCACTTGGGCACATTTTCAGTTAGGAAGGGGACTGAGACATGAAGAAGAACACTGAGCCGATCTCTTCTCCCAAAAGACACAGTTTGGGGTTTGGACTGGAAGCCTGTTCCGTGGAGATCCGGTCCCCGCTCCGCCCTGGGCACGCCGCCCATTTTCAAAAGGCAGACTCCACATCCCCCATCTCCACACACACAGTCTTCAGCTGCGAATAATACTCGATTGTCACCCGGCCGTTCTCTCTGCCGAACCCTGAAAGGAAGAGGGGGGGTGAGGATGACCCACGTGTCTGAAAAGTCCTCGGTGAGCGTCAAGGACAGGCCCGGCTGACCCCAGCAGGGGAGGAACACAGAACCGACAAGGTTTGGGATGAAGTCCTCAGCTGCTCTGATCAGCGATGGAGCGAGGCAGGGGGAAAAGGGACCCACTGGCCTTCGGGGAGGGGGACAGGGAAATAGCCATGTCTCGTCTCTACGACAGGAATCTGAACTTATACACCTACCGTTTCAGGTTGAGATCTGAAAACGTTCAGGCTTTCCCATCCAGTGTGAAAACAGTCCCTACTACGACAATCGGCGGACGCCTCCGAAAGTTGCTGCTAGCCTGGGGCGCCTGCCTGGCTCCGCCGGTCTTGATCTCAGGGTCGTTAGAGGGAGCCCAGCCATCTGCTTCAGATTCTCTATTTCCCTCTGCCCCCCAACCCTGCTCCCTCTCTCTCAAACCCCCAAAAAACAAAAACAAAAAAAGAAAAAGAAAGATTGCTTCTATTGCTTAAAAACTAACCCTATAGACTAACTCTGAGATTATGAAATAAACAGAGATGCACAGACCTGACTACACAGGTCCGAATGGGGACGGCCACCTTCCCAACACAATGTGGAAAACGCAGGGAGTCAGCTTGGGATTATCTCTTCCTCTACCTTTCCCCCCTACTTGTGTGCACAAGCTCGCTCTAAAATAAATACATTGTAAGAAAAAAAAAAGTTGGTGCTCACTGAAAACTTAACTCTACAGCAGAGATTTTTTTAACCTTTTCTTACACCAAATCTGTTAAGAGCAGCTTGCTTTCCCACCCTGCCAACTCATAACACCAGGGGACTCTTCAGGTAGCCCGGTCACTAGGTCACACGCCACAGGGCCAGCATCCCACACCTGGCCTCTCATGGCACCCGGCCTCAGGCTCATGCAGGTCTGCCTCCAAAGGGCAAGGCCACGTCCCCACACATTCACGCCTCCAGGGGCACCGTCCAAAGGTGATTTCTACAACAGCCCTGACAAGGCCTGGCTCTGGCCTTTGTCCCCTTCCACACCCTGAGCACGGAGCTAGCTGGGTGGGGTCGCCCAGGTTGCTTCTCCTCCCGTCTGGCCAGGTTTCAGTCTCTCTCTCGTGCCAGGTAGACAAACAGCGCGTGGATCCAAACACGCCGACGTAAGGAAGGGAGAGGTGACCTAAGAGGCCGCCCTGAGGCCTTCGCTGCACATTCCAAACCTTTCCCTGCACCGACGTTTGTCTTAATAAAGCAGCATCTGGTGCCCCGTCTGCATTCTGTACCCGTGTGCGCAGCTCCTCTAGGCCTACACAGGGATGAGGCGGGTCAGAGGAGCGTGACGAGGGAATGCCAGGCTAAGAACAAAACATAAACCCAACAGCCACCATCTCGTCAGCTCTCCTCAGACTCTGGATGTCACGAACACTGTCATGGCCACGGATACGGGCCAAGAGGCCAGGGCTCAGGCTCTTCACGTGGCGCCCCCAGAGTCAAAACTGATCTTCAGGGAAAGGTAGGGGAGACGATGGAGAACATTTACAGGCAACAAGATACAAGAGAACCTCGGAGTAAGGGCTCTGCCCTGGCCGCCTCGAGGCTCCTCCTCACACACGGGGCCTCCACACTCGCTGTTACGGTAACGCGCGCCTGACTGACCGCATCCACGTCAGCAACGGGCGGCAGCTGAGGGACCGCGTTCCTGGATGGCGTCCAGGGCAACCCTAGTGACTCTAACTGCTGTTGAAAACAAGTTAGTATCTGCCTGCTGAGACGTGAGAGCCACTTGACCTCTAAAAACTCCACAGCTGGGCATCTGCCTTCAGCTCAGGTCATGATCTCAGGGTCCTGGGATCGAGTCCCGCATCGGGCTCCCTGCTCAGAGGAAAGCCTGCTTCTCCCTCTGCCTCTCTTCCCCGACTTGCACACACACTCTGTCTCTTTCAAATAAGTAATATAAAATCTTAAATACAATACACACTCCACAGTGGACGGCAATGACCACCCCAAGGAGGGAACATGTGGAGCGGATTTACGCCTCCAGCAATCACAGACCATGAAGAAAAACCAATTCCACCCACGAAAGAAACTTCTTCGAGACGTCTACCAGCTGTTCACAAGCTAGGCTACACACACGTAAGAACCTTCTGGATGGCTTTTGCGGGGAGAAAAAGCTGCTTGGCTTCGATTCCCAGAGACTGCTCTGGTGGGTCTGGGGAGAACCAGGAATCAGGGTACTTTTCGGATAGTACGTTCGGATCCCGCTTTGGGAAGCTGGTCTGTAGGGTCTGAATGATGACCAGAATCCCAAGAGGCCTGGTTTGCTTTCGCACTCGCTGGCTCCTCACCTGACTTCTTGTATCCTCCGAAGGGCAGCTCCACGGGGCTGACGTTGTAGTTGTTGATGAAACACATCCCGGCCTGCAGCCCGGCCACCACTCTGTGCGCGCGCTGGATGTCCCTATAAAGAGAAAACACAACAGAACAGGCTGCTTATTCATAGCTTTGCTCCTGCTCTAACAGGAAAAGTTAGGCTACCGGTTCTAAAGGTCTCAAAGAATTGCCAAGTTCTCGTTTCTTCACTGTGTTTTAAAATCTTTGGCATCCCTGCAAAACAGAGAAGGACCTGAGCTTTATAGTCTCATCTGAAAGCATCTATAAGTCGCAGCAACAAGGGGGCCAAACACTTTGGGAGAAAAAGAGTCTTTTTAACAAACAGTGCTGGAACAGCTGGCGACCCACACGTCCACCAAGAGGAAGGTCAATCCCTATAGTATAGAAAGGTTCATAAATATGAACTCAGATGGATCACAGACCTAAAATGTCAGAGAAAAAACCATAAAACTCTTCAAAAAGAACAAGAATAAGTCCCCAGGACCCTGGGTTAGATAAAGCCTTCTTAGACAGGATACCAAAAGTAACAGACAAAAAGAAAAGAAACAGAATGAGACTCGGTCAAAATTTACAATTTTTGTACTGCAAAGGAGACTATCAAGAAAGTAAAAAAGACAACTCCTGGAAACGCAAATCAAAACTACACTGAGGTGGAGCCTGGGGGGCTCAGCCAGGTGAAGTGTCTGCCTTTAGCTCAGGTAGTGATCCCGGGATTCTGAGATCGAGTCCCACGTCAGGCTCCCTGCACAGCAGGGAGTCTGCTCTCCCTCTCCCCGTGCTGATGCTCGCTCTTAAATAAGTAAATCTTAAAAAAAAAAAAAAAAAAAAACCCTACACTGAAACACCACTTCACACCCACCAGGATGGTGGAAACCAAAAAGGCGGAGAGAAGCATGGGATGGCCCAGATGTGGAGAAACTGGCCCCTCCCACATTATTACTATTGCCCCAAGAGGCCGCGCTGCCTCTTGGGGGAACAGTTGAGCACTGCCTCCAAGAGTCAAGCAGAGTCATCATATGATCCAGCAATTCCACCCCAAGGTATGCAGCCCAGGCAGAAATGAAACATAACCACACAGAGACTCAGATGCAAGTGCCAACAGAGACATGATGCAAAAGAGCAAAACAGTAGAAACAATCCAAATGTCCAGCAGGTGAATGAACAAGATGCATCCATACATATTATTCTGGAAGTAATGACACCTGCTACAATATAAATGAACCCTGGAAACATTCTGAGTCAAAGAAGCCAGTCAAAAAAAAAAAAAGAACAAAAGAAAACATTTTTAATTATATGTTTTTTGGCCTATATTATATAGATCGGTGCAGTATAGAAACTACATTATGATCTAATCTCTATCTTTTGCATTTTGTTAACATAGTATTCAACCTATTTCTGACTCCCAGTTTGATAACCCATGCAAATATGTATATCATAAACATGATTTGGATTAAAATAATCTTAATGTAGACCAAAAAAAAGGTATCATGTCATCAAATACTGAGATGAAAAGTGGAACATTTCATCAGTGATTGTACTAACTTATGTCCATCAGTCCAAATACTCTGATACTTACAATTATTTGGGTAGCTAAAGTGATGTATAAGGGGTTGAGTTAAATTGGTTAATGTTAGCAATACAGGTCCTTCGTGAGAATTTTCATGTACTCTCTGCTACATATAACATAAAATTTGTGGACGTGAGCATAAAATACTATGTGTACACTATAATATATATGAGGCATTATAAAAATGTGTTATTATTACATTAATAAAATTTTAAATGAGACCAGAAAAAAAAAAGCCAGTCACAAAAAGTCACGTACTGTATGATTCCATTTATACGAAATATTCACAAGCAAATCCGCAGCTGGGGCAGGTGGATTAGTGGTGCCCAGGGCCTGGGGGGAGGGGACAATGAGGAATGACTGCTCATATTCGTGGGATGCTGAAAATGTTCTAAAATTAGGTTATGGTGACGGTTGCACAACCTTGTAAATACACTAAAAAACAGTGAATTGTACGTTTTAAATGGGTAAATTATATGGTAGAGATTATCCTACACAGCTGTTAAAAAAGGAGCGGAGTGCTGGAGTCACCCTCTGTGAGATCTTCTCCCCGGCCTGCAGCAGCAGAGACCAGACACTTAACCCAGCCAGTCCTCGCTGCGAAGAAAGCAGCTCCTGAGAGGACAGGGCAGGACTCTGAGAGTTTCCGTAAGCGTGGATCCCGCTGTCCAAGTCCATGGGCTGGACAACACCGAGAGGGAACCCTGACGTCACTGTGGTCTTGGGGCAATTACGGTATGTTCAAGTAGGTTCATCAGTTACAACCAACGCACCCTCGGGACGGGGACACTGATGATGGGGAGGGGGCAGGGTTTATGGGAAATCTCTGTGCCTTGCTTTCCACTCGGTTTTGCACTGAACCTAAAATTACTCTAAAATATAAAGTCTACTCAAATATAAGAAACAAGCAAACAAAGAAACAACAGCTCCTCAATCTTCTCTTTCTTCAGGGTTCTTTTTTTTTAAAGATTTTATTTATTTGAAAGACAATGAGAGAGAGAGCACAAGTAGGGGGGAAGGGGAGAGGGAGAAGCAGGTGTAGGACTCGATCCCATGACCCAGGGATCATGACCTGAGCCAAAGGAGGACAGTTAACCAACTGAGCCACCCAGTGCCCCTATATTGTTTCATTCATCAGACCCTCCAGGGGGACCTGGGTCTTCTTTCCCAGGTTCCTCACCACAAAGCTATAAAAAAACCTGAGCCAGCATAATTCCAAGTATAAAGCAGTATAAAATAATACCAAAGTGTAAAGCAGTCCCAGAGAACCACCCATAACCACCACAGACTAATCAAAGTTTGAATATGGTCAAGCCGTCTGCAATAATTTTCAAGGAAATTTTACTCCCAAATCACTTTTTACTTGTATTATAGTGGTTGATGTTTATGTATAAGATACTAATCACAATTTTACTTACGAGAGTCACAACTGGAAACAAGAGCCTAAACGAAAAAAGGCCCACATATTTTACAAAGCATTCCAAATAGGAACTACTCTAAAGTCGTGAAAAAAATCACCTTTTTGGAGAATACTACCCAGTGTTTAGATGCTTATCGGTTTCTAAATTCCTTGACATGCAGGTTTTCAGTAGGCGCCCAACCTGATGCTTTACATAGATCAGAATCTTAACTTTAGTTCAATGAATGAATGAAATAGGACAGAATGTTCATCAACACTGTTTACAGGTCAATTTCAATACGACAGCAGGGGGCTCTGGCTGGTCAGGGCAAAGGAGAGACGCTTCTCTGGCACCTTTGGACCTCACCTGGAGCAGAAAATGCTAATGAAACATCAACTCCAGAGAGGAAATGAGAGCAGTGGCCTCTCTGGGCAGATCCGGCATACATCCGGCATACATCCCCTGCAAAGCTGTCTGAGGTGTCCTTCCCCACGTACCTGGTAAAGACCCCAGCCGCTAAGCCAAAAGTGGTATCATTGGCTCTTTCCAGGACCTCAGCTTCCGTGTCAAATGATAAAATGGACATAACTGGTCCAAAGATCTCCTCTTTCACGCAGGTCATGTCGTCTCTGCAGTTAGCTGCAAACATCATAACAGAGCCAGACATCAGTGACAGGATTACCGTGCTTGGCGCTTGAAAACGCCTTCTCCGCAGTAACGACGAAACACACAACCCTAAACGCCTGAGAACCATGCTCAAAACAGCAGCTGCAGCCCAGCCGCGAGGTCTGCAAACGACTCCTCGTGGGTCTACAAAGATGACAAGTCTGCATCAAGAGGTGGTAGAGCTTGGTGTACAAAGTACAAAAAGCACTCTGGTCACCTCTATGTCACACTCTACTTTGGGGACACCTGCACTCTCTTAAAGATATAATAAATAACTCTTGGGCTGTGCTTCAGCATAGTTCATTATGTTCTAATTCTCTGAAAAGCGGTAATCCACATATGACATTTAGGGAAACGATCGGCCACAATATTAAATTACCCAAGAGTCCCAGGAAATACTTTATCACCTCCTGCAGGTTGGTAAGACCGGGTGGCTCTGTACGCAGTGACTTCCCTGTCCCAGAGTCAGGGCTGACGCGGGCTTGCAGTAGCAGCTGCTGCGAGGGAGGGCAGGTTCCCATCCGAGACGGAACATCTACTGTACTTTAGCCCCCAGTTCTTAAGGGATCAAAAATTAACCCAGACTCTGTTGTGACTCCCACACTTTAATACAAATAAAAATGAACCGGGGGCTTACTAAAAAGCAGATTGCTGGGCCCCACACCCTGCGAGTTACACTGAGGGCAGGAGGCAGGAATCGGCCCCTTTAACACGTTTTCCAAGTGGCACCGACATCATGGACCACAAACCAGGCTTTCAGAATCACGGGAATAAACCTTAGTTTGGTCAGCTCCCTGTTCTTTGCCCAGGTTCATGGCCTGTTTAAGCATAACTTTTTTCCCTCATTGTAAAATATATAATCCCTGTGAAAAAAGGTGGACTATTCAGCAATGCACCAAGTAGAACAAAAATCACCTCTAATCCCCAGCAACCAGAGAAATCCACTGTTAATATTAGGATGCAAACTCCATTCCTTCTCTCTCCCATGCATACATTTATTTTTTAATACATCTGGGTTAATACCATACACACCACTGTTTAATCTCTATTTTTTATTTATATCTAAAAATACATTGTAAGCTTTTCCTATTCACTTAATAAATACAAGCTAATCCTTGGTATGGATGGTAGGCTCACAGCTTTCAAACCTCAGCAGATCTTTTTTTATTGTGAGGGCTTAAGGCTAAAATGCGTCAGATAATCAAGTGCTGGAAAGGGACACCGCTGTCAACCTTAGGGACAAAGATCCGCTCCATCTATCCTCTAGACAAGGTGTAAGGAATGGAATTACACAACATAATTTGATCTGTATATAGTTTTTTAAAGCCTATGAAACTACTGATTTTTTTTTTTTTTACTATTTTTTAACTTCGAAGTTAACTAACATATATTATTAGCTTCAGAGGCAGAGCACAGTGATTCATCAGATTTAGAGAACACCCAGTGTTCGTTGCATTCTGTACCCACCTAATGCCCGTCACCCAGTTACCCCATTCCCCCATCCTTCTCCCCTCCAGCAACCCTCAGTGTGTTTCCTATGATTAAGTCTCTTATGGTTTGTCTCCCTCTGATTTCGTCTTATTTTTCTCCTCCCCCTCCCCTATGCTCCTGTTTTCTTTTTTTTTCTTTCTTAAGATTTTATTTATTTATTTGACAGAGAGAGAGATCACAAGTAGGCAGAGAAGAAGGAAGGAGGCTCCCTGCTGAGCAGAGAGCCGGATGCAGGCTCAATCCCAGAACCCTGGGATCACGACCTGAGCCGAAGGCAGAGGCTTTAACCCACTGAGCCACCCAGGCACCCTCCTGTTTTGTTTCTTAAATTCCACATATGAGTGAGAATATATAATTGTCTTTCTCTGATTGACTTATTTCACTTAGCATAATAACCTCTAGTTCCATCCGCATCCTTGGAAATGGCAAGATTTCATTTTTGATGGCTGCATAGTATTCCATTGTAGGTATAGACCACATCTTCTTTATCCATTCATTTGTCAACGGACATCTCAGCTCTTTCTATAATTTGGCTGTTGTGGACATTGCTGCTATGAATAGTGGGGTACAGGGGCCCCTTCAGATCATTACATTTGTATCTTTGGGGTAGATACCTAGTAGTGCAGTTACTAGGTCAAAGGGTAGCTCTATTTTCAACTTTTTGAGGAACCACCATACTGTTCTCCAGAGTGGCTGCACCAGCTTGCATTCCCACCAACAGCATAAGGGGGTTCCCCTTTCTCTGCATCCTCGCCAACAGCTGTTGTTAATTTTAGCCATTCTGGGGGCACCTGAGTGGCTCAGTCATTAAGTGTCTGCCTTCAGCTCAGGTCATGATGCCAGGTCCTGCAATCAAGCCCCAGATCAGGCTCCCTGCTCTGCGGGAAGTCTGCTTCTCCCTCTCCCACTTTCCTGCTTGTGTACTCACTCTCACTGCATCTCTGTCAAAATAAATAAATAAAATCTTTTTAAAAAGTTTTTTTTTTTTTAAATCCATTCTGACTGCTTTGAGGTGATATCTCACTGTGGTTTTGATTTGTATTTCCCTGATTCCAAGTGATGTGGAGCACTTTTTTCACGTTGTCTGTTGGCCATTTGGATGCCTTCTTTGAAGAAATGTCTATTCTTGTCTTCTGCCCATTTCTTGATTATTTGTTCTTTGGGTGCTGAGTTTGGTTAAGTTCTTTATAGATTTTGGATACTAGCCCTTTAACTAAATGTTGTTTGCAAATATCTTCTCCCATTCTGTCAGTTGTCTTTTGATTTTGTTGACTGTTTACTGTCCAAAAGCTTTTTATCTTGATAAAGTCCCAGTAGTTCATTTCGGCCTTTGTTTTCCTTGCCTTTGAAGACGTGTCTAGCAAGAAGTTGCTGCGGCTGCGGCTGAAGTCAAAGAGGTTGCTGCCTGTGTTCTCCTCTAGGATTTTGATGGATTCCTGTGTCACAGTTCGGTCTGTCATCCATTTTGAGTCTATTTTTGTGTGTGGTGTAAGGAAATGGTCCAGTTTCATTCTTCTGCAGTGGCTGTCCAATTTTCCCAACACCATTGGTTGAAGAGACTGTCTTTTCTCCAATGGATATTCTTTCCTGTTTTGTCAAAGATTAGTTGACCATAGAGTTGAGGGTCTATTTCTGGGTTCTCCTTCTACTTCACTGATCTATGTGTCTGTTTTTGTGCCAGTACCATACCATCTTAATGATTACAACTTTGTAATAGAGCTTGAACTTTGAGATGGTGATGCCACCAGTTTTGCTTTTTCAACATTCCTTTGGCTATTCGGGGTCTTTTCTGGTTCCATACAAATGTTAGGATTATTTGTTCCATTTCTGTGAAAGAAGTTGATGGTATTTTGATAGGGATTGCCCAGAATGTGTAGCTTGCTCTAAGTATCATAGACATTTTAACAATGTTTGTTCTTCCAATCCATAAGCATGGAACATATTTTCATTTCTTTGTGCCTTCCTCAAATTCTTTCCTGAGTGTTGTATAGTTTTCTGAGTACAGATTCTTTGCCTCTTTGGGTAGGTTTATTCCTAGGTATCTTTCGGTTTTTGGTGCAACCATAAATGCGATCGACTCTGTAATTTCTCTTTCTTCTGTCTCATTGTTAGTGTATAGAAATGCAATTAATTTCTGTCCACTGGTTTTATATTCTGCCATTTTGCCATATGAGTTCTAGCAATTCTGGGATGGAATCTTTTGGGTTTCCACATAGAATATCACACCATCTGCCAAGAGTGAGAGTTTGACTTCTTCTTTGACGATATGGATGCCTTTCATTTGTGTTGTCTGATTGTTGAGGCTAGGACCTCTAGTACCACGTTGAACAGCCATGAAACTACTTGATATTTTTATAGGGACACTAAGATATATTGTATATAGGGATATAAGATATATTGTAACATAACAGAGAAAAGCACAACAACAATACAACCTAGAGCAGTGGGCACCTCTGAGGTAGGGGGAGAAGTAAAAGGGTTGAGGACAGCAGGACGACCACACACTTGTCTGTCCAAACCAGGAGATGTTTAAGATTGAAAGGACGTGCTAAAAATTATTAAATTACAAAATTTTTAAAATATAAATAAAACAAATTGGTTTTATTATACTGATGATATATTGTTCAAAGAAAAACATATTCTTCAGCAACTTTCCTGAGAAATGAAATTCATTATTTTATCAAACATGACCTTCCTTTTTTTTTTTTTTAGCTCCTTGCTTCCAGAACAACAGGTATCGACCCAGTTAAGTCTCAGGTAAACTAATGCACGGTGCCATCCAAGAGGAAGGAAACTAATCCACACTCCCATCCACATGGGAGGTAAGGAAGAAGTTCTACTCCTTAAATCTGAGCAATGAGGACGTGGTTTACCAACACTTGCTGTATACCGTATACATATTTTATAAATATCCTTTTCTGACATTTAATTCAAACCATTTAAAAGCAAACAAGAAGGGGACGTACTCAGTACACAAGGTCTCATGTAATATCCGTCCTTCAGTTTGGGATCTTCAGGTACGTGTACGTCTCCACCACATAGCACTTTAGCACCCTGCCGGAAAAGAAAAAAAGAATGCTTATTTTCCACTTAATGTACAACCCTGGGGCACCTGGGTGACTCAGTTGGTTAAAACATCTGCCTTCAACTCAGGACATGATCTCGGGGTCCTGGGTTCAAGCCCCAAATTGGGCTCCCTGCTCAGCAGGAAGTCTGCTTCTCCCTCTCCCTTTGCCCCTCCCCACCTGCTGCTTATGCTCTCTAATAAATAAAACCTTAAAAAAAAAAAAAGTACAACCCTGAAATGCATCCCTGAAACGTTCAGTGTGTCCTGAGCAGGCGCCCAGTCACTCCACTGCAGGAACAAAGCAGAACATAGCTGAGGACACTGTGACATCGCGAGCCAAGCGGGTATTAGCACAGGGAAAGTGCCCCCAGCAAGGAACGTGGAATGATTCCCCTCCGCCTTGCCCCAGCCCATCGCCACTTGTTTCGCACCTGCTCCTTTGCCCCCTTAACAAACCCGAGGACTCGCTGCAGGTGTGGGCGGTTGATGAGGGGACCCATCCTCGTATCTTCCAGAAGGGGATCTCCGATTTTTATCTTCTCAGTCCGTTTCACCACTTCCCTTGTAAATTCATCAAGAATCTCCTTTTGCACAAATACTCTTGTGCCATTACAACAAACCTGAAGGACAGACACAAATTTGTACGTGTGTAGGGAAGGAAAATGGAAAAGAGGGAAGAATCCAACAGCTTTACTCTTAAAAGAGACAGTATACCTTTTTTAAAAGGTTAGTTCCAGCTCTAAAAATTATCCCCATCCCAGAGAGAATTACCCATGGAATTGTGGACATACCACCCTCTCAGCAAAGAAACCGCCTGCCGTTTGAGAGGAAAGTTCTAGCTTTTTGTTTGTTTACATTTCCTCAAGGCCGTTCACAGACCCCCATGAGTTCTCCTACTGCCTCCTGTCAGAGGCTCGGTGAGGCTGTGTATTTTAAGAAGCAGAGGAGATGGGAGAGGAAGAACAGATCAAGAACAAAGGGCTTGAACCTAATGAAAACCTGAGGCATTTCACAGCGAACTTCTCTGTCTCTAAAATCACAAATCATTTATGACCATTTAGATCCTCCCGTAGAACGTGAACACAAATACTGTTCAAATGTTATCGGAACTGCAGATACAAAGTCCAAAAACAGAGCCAAGTACCCATGTTCACAGAATAATGAAGACGTATCAAAAGGTCACAGGAGATGCCATGAGTCAAATCTGCAATTATCTGAGGGTCAAAATAAATGATGGCAGTAAATGGACTGTAATCCATAGAATGAAGGAAGAATCCATAGTCTGTGATAGTAAAAATAAATGAGTGGAAAAAATATGGGAGAAGGGAAAGTTCCTTCTCACAGAGGAGAGTGAACTAATAAATGCAGAAAAACAGAACTGGGAAATCACCATTTGGGAACCCCCATAAAAGAAAGTGTTTCCAGCAAAAATCATCCAAGGGTGTTACGACTAGTGGGGGAGAGCCCGGGGAGGCACAGAATCCTCTCGCACGGTCTGCTCTGTGACCCGTCTTCCCACAGAAGGAGACACAGTGACTTCCCAGAGAAGATGCCCCTCAGCAGACACTCCTCAGCAGAGTCAACCAAACCACTAAGAGGGACACAACATGACTTCTGAGGTGCTTTTTGTCTCAAACCCATAACCCAAATCTTATCAAAAGGAAACACCAGACAAACCCCAAATGAGGGACATTCTACAAAATAAATAGCTTCTATTCTTCAAAAATGTCAAGGTCCTGAAAAATAAAAATAATTGAACAGCTGACTGCTCCAGGATAAAGGAAGTTGTGGGGACACAATTAAATGCAACATTCCTTCCCAGATTCGATCCTGGACTAGAAAAAAGAAACTATGATTTTGCTTTGTTTGTTTCTCCTAAAAGGACTAATGTCAAGCAAATGGCAATAAGTGGGGATTCCTGGGTGGCTCAGTTGGTCAAGCATCTGCCTTCAGCTCAGTTCATGATCCGAGGGTGCTGGGAGAGAGTCCTGCATTGGGCTCCCTGCTTGGCAGGAAGCCTGCTTCTCCCTCTACCCCTCCCCCTGCTTGTGTTCCCTAATAAATATATAAAATCTTTTGTAAAAAATGACACTATGTAGATGGGGCTGCAGAGTGCGTATACTCTACCTGAGGTCGTTGATTGTACTAAGTGCACCATGCTTACGTAAGAGAATGCACTTGTTTCTAGAAAATACACACAGGAATGTAAAAGTTGCAGATCTTAAGCCTGCAACTTTCAAACACTTCAGAAAAAAAATAAATGCGTACATAGGTATAGAAAGAGAAACAGAATGACAAAGGAAACGTGATAAAATGTTAACATCTGAGAAAGGCAGCTCAAGGGTACACGGCGTTCTTCGCCCTCTCTGTGCAACACTTCTGTGAGTCTGAAATTATTTCAGAACAAAAAGCTTTAAAACATGCTATTCGACAAAGGGGTGAGATTCCTCTGAAACCTCTGCCCGGGACAGGCGCATACCTCGCCCTGCGTGAGGAAGTTGGCCATCAGCGCCCCCTTCACAGCGTTCTCCATGTCACAATCCGAGAAGATGATCAGGGGGGATTTGCCTCCCAGTTCCAAGGTAACGGGTTTGATTCCCTTAGCTGCCGTCTCCATGATCTGAAGGAGAACACGCACACTCGGGAGGGTCACACGTATAAACAGCACGCGGTGTCAGCCAGACCCTCAGCCTCCAGGCCCCTCGGACTGCGCACCACCTGCAGCCTTGCTCCTGTCAGGGACCCTGCCCTTCGCCTACTTATCCTCTTCCAGAACCCTGAGGAGAGTCCGCAGGACTGCATCTGACATTCTGGAGAGGGAACGCATTTTCAAAATGCCGTTCATTCACGTGTCACAGGCGGAAACTCTCACTACTGTTACTGCGCCCAAGGCTGACGGCTAAGGTCAAAACGATAGCTCAGAAATAAACTGCTTTGGTGAGGGCTGTGACGTGTGTAAGCCTGATGATTCACAGACCTGTACCCCTGGGGCAAATAATACATTATATGTTAGTAAAAATAATTTTTAAAAAAGAAATAAGAACTAAGCTGAGCGAGTACCCTTCCTTCTGAGGTGGTTACTACAGAGGCCCTAAGACACCAGGGACCCAAGCGGCAGCCCAGACCCCGCGCTCTGAGGCACAGGCAGGAGCTGATGACTTCCATCCGCTCGCTTGGGCACCGGCTGCCAGCCTAACGTTCTCCTCATCCCACTGCACTCCCTGCCGGCGCCCCACGTTGCCAGCACACTTCCGCTCTCCGCCCCAATCCCCACGGCCTCCCTCCCAGGACTGGGTGAGATCGGAAGCGAGGCCTCCCACGTGGGCTCTGGGCAGGCCCGATGCTGCCGTTTGTGGGACCCGATACCGGTTTGATCTTTACCTTCGAGCCGGTGGGCACACTCCCAGTGAAGGAGACCTTGGCCACGTCGGGGTGCTGACACAGAAACTGGCCCGTGGCCGCCCCTCCCTGCACCACGTTGAAGAGCCCCGGGGGCACACCGGCCTCCGTGTAGATCTCGGCCAGCAGCAGCACAGACACCGGCGTGAAGGGAGACGGCTTGAAGACCATGGCATTACCTGCACGAACCCAAGACACGAGAACACAAGACTTCTTGAGGCCGGTGATCCTCTGGGTAGAGGACAGGACAGGAGAACAAGCCAAAGACAACTCCAAGTGTTTCCCACCCCACCCCCCAACCCTCCATCAACTCCTAGACCCGCACCAGTACGAGTAAGTAAACTCAGCTTGTTCCTCTCACGTTGGCTCCTTGCCACAGGCAGATCCCAGGCCAGCACTGGTCCAGGCTTAACCAGGAACACCCGACACTCGCATTTCCAGGCCTTTCCACATCTATTATCTCATTTAACGCATGCCATAGCAGGAGGAAGTGCTGTGCTCACTCCCATTTTACAGAAGTTGAAATGGAAGACCCGAAAGGTTAATTCTGATGAGTCTCCAAAGCTAGTGACTTAGCTCTATTCCTCCTGTCCCAGCTACCTCGGCCTTGCACGGGAATTTGCAGAAAGCAGAAGGGCACAAAGCATGACACAAGTAAAGCTGCATTTCCACATAGCGTCCCAGCCCAAGTGCTTTCCTTAACGTCAGGATTTTTTTTCCTGAGATACAATAAATCATCTTTTCCCACTGATTCCTCTTTAAATAGTATGAAAAAACTTTTTCGGTCAGCCAGCTGAAGTTTCACTAATGGAAGCCTTGTTTATCATTTGTCTTACACAGGAGGAAGTTTATCTTCTGCTTCTTAAGTGAAGCCAAACTCCCGAGTGCGACTCCCTCCACAGAAATTCATCCCACAATTCTTGTGCAGAAAGGAAGAGAACTTAAAAGGAGCACCAATCTACATCAATTTGACAGTAAAAAATAAGACCTCCCAGACCAAAATTAATGGTCTTCTTTTCCATAAGAAAAATAAATTAGATAAAGAAAAGTGGGAATAGGGCACCTGGGCAGCTTAGTGAAGCGTCTGCCTTCGGCTCGGGTCATGATCCCAGAGTCCTGGGATCGAGCCCCACATCCAGCTCCCTGCTTAGTGGGGAGCCTGCTTCTACCTCTCCCTCTGCCACTCCCTCTGCTTGCATTCTCTCTCTCACAAATAAATAAATAAAATCTTAAAAAGAAATAAAGTAAGAGCGGGAATAATATAGATGCAATCCGTGTGCATAAGCCACGCTGCTGGGTCCCAGAGCAACAGGGCAGGAAGAGACACACGTCCTCTGAGGCCTCAGGTGCCCCAAGGCAGGCAGCCCTTCTGACGTGCAGTGTGAGTATATGAAGGAATGTGTGTATGTATGTGTATGTGCACACGGGGACACATGCATGAACAGGTGAGAGGTAGAGAAAAGGGCCAGAATGTTGGCTCCCATGTGAGAATCCTTCTTTCTTACCGCAGGCTAAGGCGGGCGCAGACTTCCAGCAGGCGATCTGGAAGGGGTAGTTCCAGGCACCGATTCCCACACAAACGCCAAGTGGTTCTCTTCTAGTATAACCGAAGGAGCCGCCTGGGAGCTGGATATGTTCACCTAAGAGGGAAGCAGAGTCACAGAGAGCATAGGACTGCTTTTCCGGACATGCTGCCAACACTGGGTGCCACACTCGGCGGCCTCCCGCTGTCCCTGGCCTCCCGCTGTCCACAGCCTCCCCGCTGTCCCCGGCCTCCCCTCTGTCCTTGGCCTCCTCCCCCACCCCCGTCCCCTGCCCCCAGCCTCCCCACTGTCCCCGGCCTCCCGCTGTCCCCAGCACACAAGCGCTCCCCGTCTCCACTCTAAGGCTCACTCTGGACTTGCGTGCACACATCCGCACATTCTCTCCAAGAAAGATTCCGACCCATCCCTCAAAGCCACATTCACTCAACTTAATGTAAGTCTCTAAAACCTTAGAGGATCTAGCAGGTAAGAACCTGAAGGCAACGAGATGGGGACTGGCGGACCTGCACCTCAGACTCTGGCTCCCACAGCCCTGCGGGGTGCCAGCGACCATCTAACACCACCTACAGCAAACCTCACAGAGTCAAAAACAATACGAAACCAAGCCTTTTCTGCTAACTAGGCAGAACTAGTAAACATGGTAATGCTTACTGACTCTTGCAAGAACTGTTTTTTTTAACCACTTGGCTCAGGAGCCGTGCTGAGTGTGTTACGTGTATTTTCTCACTGAACCCTCATGACCACCCACGAAGACAGTTTCAACAATGAAAGATAAAGTCATTCTCAGGGTCACCCACGTGGAGAGTGACAAGCCCAAGACCGTTAACCCAGGGCCGTCTTCATCCCCACATCTCTCTCCCTGACCACCGGGATCTGCTCCCCCACCCGCCTGCCAGCGGTCCCGGGGCCAGGCGAGGGCTCACCGGCCATAGAGCCCGCCAAGCCAGCGTAGTACTCCAGGCACTGCCACGAAGTGTCGACGTCCCAGCGGGCCTCGAAGATGGACTTGCCGTTGTTGATGGTCTCCACGGTGGCGATCTCATCCTTCCGTTCCTTCGGGTAAAACCGAAGACTAGATTTAAGACATATATAGGGGCACCCGGGTGGCTCAGTGGGTTAAGCCTCTGTCTTCTGCTCAGGTTATGATCTCAGGGTCCTGGGATCGAGCCCCACATCGGGCTCCCTGCTCGGCCAGGAGTCTGCTTCTCCCTCGCCCTCTGCCCCTGCTCGTGTGCTCCTCACTCACTCACTCTTTCTTTCAAATAAATAAAATCTTAAGGAAAAAAAAAAAAAAAGAAATCCTAAAGAAATTTCTTCAAGCAGAAAAAATATGACACCAGATGGAAATCAGGGCCTACACAAAGGAATTGGAGCATGAAAGGGTGAAGCGGGACTTGATCCCAGGACTCTGGGATCATGACCTGAGCCAAAGGCAGACGCTTCATTGACTGAGCCACCCAGGCGCCCAAAGGGCCAATTCTTAAGAGGACAAAACCCTAAATGCTTACGCACTAGGAACACTAAAAGACAAACTAAAATAATAAATTATCTGCTTGAGTTACCACTTTTGGCCTGTTAAAAATAATTTTTTAACGACAGAATAAAATACTTCATTGAGAGGAAATTCTCCATGAACACTGTCACATCTCTGTGTGACGCAGGCTTTCTGAGCAGAGGATGCTGGAAAGCTGAGACACAAAGGCCTTGGAAGGCAGACACAGTGTCTTCCTAAGGACAGACGTGCCAAGAAGGAAGTGCAGAGGCAAAGCTCACTGCTTCCCATTTCTGGAGACACCTGCTAACTTCCCAGGGTAGTAAAGCTGGTAACACCATCCCCCTGAACCCTGGAGGAGATGTGCTTACTGAGTCATCGCTCTCGCTCCAGGGGAGGGAAGGCACAGGTGTGAGAGCAACTCCTGTCTAAACTGAGTCTCAAAACTTGAGGGTTCCCCTCCTGGGGTGCAACTCTGCAAGCAACAGGGTAACCTGTGGCTCTCACTGCATCTCCCCTCAAGGACTGGAGCTCAGAAAACTAGTGATAATGTACCACTCTCGCTGCTGCATTTTGCTGTGAGTGACAAATTGTATCTTTCTAAGGGCACCTGGGTGGCTCAGTCGGTGAGGGTCTGCCTCCAGCTCAGGTCATGGTCTCAGGGTTCTGAGATCCAGCCCCATGTTGGACTCCAGGCACAGTGAGGAGCCTCCTTCTCCCTTGGCCCCTCCCCTCTGCGTATGCACTCTCTCGCTCTCAAATAAATAAATAAAATCCTTAAAAAAAAAAAATTTCTCTAATCCAGCAACTGTCTCCTATCACTATATACATATATATATATATATATAAATGCATATATATATATTTATGTGTGTGTGTATACACATATATATATATATATCTTTGCAAATACAGTAATTATCAGATATGTCACAGTTTCTGACTTAACACTTATGAGAACAAAAACTCACCAGAATTCTACCACTCAGAGATAGCCACGATTCATATTTTGGTGTACATGCTTCCGAGTCTTCTAATTGTTTGTAATGAGCATCTCTAGTCCTTCTGCTTTTTAAGACTGTAAAAAGTTGGGGCACCTGGATGGCTCAGTGGGTTAAGCTTCTGCCTTCAGTTCAGGTCATGGTCTCAGGGTCCTGGGATCGAGTCCCACATCGGGCTCCCTGCTGAACAGGGAGCCTGCTTCCCCCTCTCCTTCTGCTGCTCCCCCTGCTTGTGCTCTGTCTCCTTATCTCACTCTCTGTCAAATAAATAAATTCTTTAAAAAAAAGACTGTAAAAAGTTTAGGGGTTCAATTGGTGGAGCATGCAATTCTTGATCTCAGGGTCATGAGTTCGAACCCCATGTTAGGTGTATAAATAAATAAAAATTTTTAAAAAAGACTGTAGGAAGTTTTAACTTTGTCTTTATTTTATTTATTTTTTAAAAAGATTTTATTTATTAGACAGAAAGATATCACAAGTAGGCAGAAAGGCAGGCAGAGAGAGGAGAGGAGGAAGCAGGCTCCCTGCTGAGCAGAGAGCCCGATGTGGGCCTCGATCCCAGGACCCTGAGATCATGACCTGAGCCGAAGGCAGAGGCTTTAACCCACTGAGCCACCCAGGCACCCCAACTCTGTCACTATTTTAGAGAGAGAGAGAGAGAGAGCATGTGAGCAGGAGGGAGGACAGAGGGAGAGAGAGAGACTCTCAAGCAGATCCCCCCGAGCACGGAGCCTGACACAGAGTTCCATCCACAATCCCCAGAACACGACCTGAGCTGAAATCGAGAGTCAGCTGCTTAACTGACTGAGCCACCCAGGTTCACCCTAACTTTGTTTTTTAAGAAGGAAACATCTATAAATTTACAAAATCTTCCCAGGCAATTACGGTAGAATATGTACCTGGAAAAAAAGTGGTAGAGTCATCAGAGGGAAAAGGAAACTGGAAACAAATACAAAGAGTATAAAAGGAGACAAGCTGCAAATGACACGTTAGAACAAAGATAGAGTAAACAACCTGACAAAGGACAGGTCAGAGAGAGCCAAGATCCAGACAGCAATTACTCAAAGAAAGCATGTCCCATATACCCAGGTGAGCACACGAAAATGTTCTGCAGTTTTGCAAAAAAGGCATCACCTAGGGGCGCCTGAGTGGCTCAGTGGGTTAAAGCCTCTGCCTTCCGCTCCGGTCATGATCCCAGGGTCCTGGGATTGAGCCCCGCATCAGGCTCTCTGCTCAGTGGGAGCCTGCTTCCTCCTCTCTCTCTCTCTCCCTGCCTCTCTGCCTCTCTGCCTACTATCTCTGTCAAATAAATAAATAAAAATCTTAAAAAAAAAAAAAAAAGCATCACCTAACAGAGCATCAAAGTCTAATGGCAGATCAGCACAGAGAACCCTCAGAGCAATTCCAGGGGGACATTTCTGAAAGAGAAAGAAAGTGAAACATACCCTTATTATCCTGGCAGCCTCCAAAAGAATTCGACAGCGCTCCATGCCGGATTTCTGCCTCCATATTTTAAAGGCAGCTTTTGCATCTTCGACAGCCAAATTTACTTCCTTCTCTCCGGAGCAAGTGAAAGTGGCTATCACTCGGCCTGTAACAGGAAATACAGTGTTATCTCCAACAATCACCTCAAGTTTAAAGGAAGTACTATGTATCCACATTGCCTTGTAGCGACCCTCTTCCTGTTTTTTAACTATGGTCTGACTTCATGACCACCCGGATGCCTGCGGTTCTTCACTCTGTTCTGAGGCAACGGAGCCCTTTAAGAATCTAATAAAAGCTGCAGACTTCTCTCTAGAAAATGTATGTCAGCACATCAGAGAATTACAGAGAGCGTGACCCTTGCCCCTAAGCACAGCATGAACTTCAGGTTAAGAACCCTATCTTATGTCCTCTTCTATTTGACAGCTGAGCTGGGTTTTGCAACCCTCCTTAACAATGTTTGAGAATCTCAGGGGTCTTGCGAAATCGAAGTTCAAAGTCCTCAGTCTCCTGGGTTCTGAACTCTGATTTTATTTTTTTTTAAGATTTTATTTATTTATTTGACAGACAGAGATCACAAGTAGGCAGAGAGGCAGGCAGAGAGAGGGGAGGAGAAGCAGGATCCCTGCTGAGCAGAGAGCACGGAGGGGGGGCTGGATGCCAGAACTCTGAGACGTGACCTGAGCCACCAGGCACCCCTGAACTCTGATTTTATATTCCGCTCTGTATTCTACATAAATCATATCATAGTGCTGACACTTCATGAATATGGTTAATAAATAGCAACATCAGGAAAACTTATCCCTAAACACAAGAAAAAAATTTTCTCAAACAGAAAAAAATCCGGTCTCTCCTTTTCTTACTCCAACCTTATTCCCTATATCCCGGTGCAAAATATGAACCTCACATATCAAGGCTTGTGACTGACTCCACCAAGAATTCTTTAAGTACCCCAAATGGGCAGTTCCTTTTCCCTCCACCAAGAACTCCAGGGACTCTGCGTTTTCCAGAAAGATTTCACAAGCCTGCAATTTCTGCTACAAATTTGAATTGCCAGTCGGTAAGGGCAGTGGCTAAGGACGGTAATTAAAATAAAGAGCAATTTTTCTCTCTCCTGTAGGCCTATGGGGCTGGGGGTGGAGAGGCTGTTTCCTCCAGCAAAGTCCCCGGATCCCTGGGGCTCCTTCCTGCTCTAAGGTTACTAGTGCTGTGTGGTTCAGTGGGATTGATCAATCCTAAATTCTGCAGTTCTTTGCAATCCAGTTTTGTCCCTCTGGCTACCGGCCATTCTGGTTTGCACAAAACATTCACATTTTTCTCCCCACAAATATTCCATAAAGCTCAGCAAAACAAACACAAACCCAAACTAAAACCTCTTCCTCATTGGCTGTGTGATCTTCAGAATTCTCAGAGCAAACCCAGGGCCCAGCAGTGGTTGGCAACTTCCAGCACTGGATAAAAGCTGGCCTTTTTACCCTTTCCCCAATTCTGATTCATGCACAGAAATAGTTTAAGGCTAGGAGATGGCAACAAAATCCCCATTCATGCTCATTAAAGTCATCTGCACACGCCTCTCCATTCTCCACACTAATGTTTCCACCTGCGTCCTTCTGGAAATCCGAATTCTCTCCTGTGCGCAAAGTTGAATACACTTTAATAGCGAACAGGGGCACAACCTCATGCACCCTAGCTTTGTAGACTCTTCTCAAGCCGCTGTAGCATTACCCACGACCCCTCCGCCCCCAGACGCAACTCACCAGCTGTCCAGTTTCCTAGACTCCCCTCCCGTCCCTGTCCAGACGCATTCGTGTCTGCACGGAGCCCTCAGCGGCCTGCGCACGTAACTCTGTTCTCCACACTCACGGATGCCCAGCAAACGTTTGCCCAACGCACTAAATGAAGGTTCAGGGCAGAATACTTCCAACAGTGGGGCGGGGAAGCGCCAACCCGCGTCCAGGCCCCGCCGCAGCCCCCTGCGCCGCTGCGGCCCCCGCCACCCGCCGCGCAGGCCCCGCCGCCCGCTCTCCGTCCCGTTACCGGTTGCGGGCTCGAACGCCTTCTCGGTGCCCGAGGCGTCCGCCGGATCCACGCGGGCCCCGCCGCGGTAATTGAGCGGCTGCGACACAACGAAAGTGCCGGTGCTCATGGCCGCAACAGCAACAGGCCGAAGGGTGCGGAGAAGCGGAGCGAGAGCTGCCAAGCGGGCTCGGAGAAACATGGGGGACGCGCGCGGCAGGGGAGCAGAGGTTTGGGACTGCGGGGAGAGGCGGGGACTGCGGGAGAAGAGAGGCCTGCCGGGAGTGGATGCGCCCGCAGTGAGGGGCGGGGCCGCGGAGAGACCCGGCGAGGGGCGGGCCCCTGGGGGGCGCGGGAAAGGGCGGGGCTCGGGGAGGGGCGGGGCCGCGGGGCGGGGCCGCGGGGCGGGGCCGCGGGGCGAATGGATGTGCGTCACCCCCGGGATACCCCAGCTTAAGGGCCTCCAGGCGATCAGGTGAGGGGCAGGATCTGGGAGACGTGGTGGCAGTCTAGGCTCCTAGGTGGTCCGGGTCAGTCCCTCGCTTAGCCAGAAGGATGGGACTACCCACCAGGGTCGTACACACACACACGCACACAGAAAACGAGAACCACGTGAGGAGATGCACAGGTGAATAAGCTTGATGGTGGTGATTATTTCACAGTGTATACCTCTATCAAAACATCAGGTCGTACACCCTAAATACATACAGTTTTTGTCAATTATACCTCAATAAAGATAAGAAGGGGGGAAAAAAGTTCCGAGAGAACCCGGACAATGTTAAGTCCTTGACTGTAGCACTTTTTGTGTCTGCTCTCCTCCACGTCCTCATCGGAAGTGGGTGCTGGCGCTTCTGTTTCCAATGATGATGGAGTAACAGGGACCAGATTTATCTTCTTGTCTCAAACAACGAGAAAACTGGGCTAAACATAAGAAACAATAATTTACAGATACAGGACAACAGGTAACATAGGATAGTGGTCCTAAGTGAGACCTTCAACTTTCCCAGCTGTCTGCCAAGAAAGAGCGTCCAGGTCACAGGGCAGGGAGAAGGAACCCAAGTAGAGCCCAGCCATCTTCCCGAACAAGGAGACAGAATTTCCAGTTTGAGAATGTGAAGGAGGCTAAAAAGGAAGGAGCTATACAAAAAGCTTTGGAGATCAGCAGACTGCCCTTGGTTTGAGGGCTGAGTACTGATCTGTAGTACTGGGGAGGAGACAACTCAAGGCCAAGGGGAACACCCGCCAGAAAGGAATAAACAGGAATATCCCTTGAGCTCATATGGGACTGGGAACTGTGTTCCCACCAGCCAGGATAGAAAGACCTTTTAATAGAGGGCATTGTGTAGGGTCCTCAGAAGGATATTTTCTCAGCAGTGGGGTCACATTAACCCTAGGCTAGTGGCTGCTTTGGGTCTGCGTAACAATGCTTATTTGTCAGTCTCAGAAGGATCTAATCAATTCCAAGTAACTCATCTGTGACCCAGGAAAAAACCTTCAAATATTTAAAGGAATACAACTATGTCTAGCAACTAAAAAAGTGTAATCCAGAATGTCCAGAGCCAACCAAAAATTATCATCCATGCAAACAACAGGAGAGAAATCAATCAAAAGAAAGACCCACACAGATGACAGAGTTAACACACAAGGATGTTAAAAGTTATTATAAAAGCACTCAATGTGGTTACAAAGGTAGAGAGGAAAAAATAAACATGATGAAGAGGGAAAGATATATAGAAGACCCGTATCAAACTTCTGGAGAGGAAAAACATAATATCTGAAATTTAAAAGCATACCAAATGGGATTATGCAGAGGAAAAGACTAACGGGTTTGAAGACATAGCAGTAGACATTCTCCAAAGTGAAACACAAGGAGAAAAAAAGACTGGAAAACACAATAAACAGAGCATTTCTGGGCTGTGGGGCACTATCTGGTGACCTAACATTCATGTAACTGGAATTACAGAAGTGGGGGCATTGGGAGGCGAAAAGAAAAATATTTGAAGAAATAATGGTCAACATTTTTCCAATTCTCATGAAAACTATAAATTTAGCAATCCAAGAAGTCTGATGTACTTCAAGCAGAAGAAACATCAGCTACAGCCAAGCACGTCCTATTTGAAATACTAGAAACCTGTGGTGAATAGAAATCCTCAAACAGATGCAAAGGAGTGTGCCTTCTGGAGAGCTATTTGACTTTCACAGCCTGATGTCTGCAAGATTGGGAGCACAAGATTTGTTTTATTCTAACGAACACTTTTTTTTTTTTTTTCCAGCCTGGCTCCCTGTGGTTTCTTCGGGAACACTTTCCAAAAACATACAAGGCATTTACTCTGTTTGCTTCTATCTAGTCCGTGTGTTGGGAGCCTTACCCAGAGGTCTTTTCCAGACAGAGTCCATAACCTGCTTCATGACTGGCTTCCTTGCCCCTAAACTCCTCTTCCTCAGTTTACCAGCACCTGCCGTGGAACCGCGTGAAACAACTGGGCAAGACTGGGATGAGATCTTTGTTGGCCTGAGATGTCTTCAGGAGAGGCCCCGGAGACAAGGTGGACAATTCTTATCTCTTTCTATTTATGCTCTTGAAGCAGTTGGCTCTTCAATATCTCCAGGGTCCCCAGTTCTGGACTCTTTGTTCCCTTTTTCTGCTTCAAAACCAGCAGCCTGACCTGAGCTCCTTTCTTGCTAGTAATACCTAGCTAAAAACAGCAAGAGGCAGCCACCTCATACCTTCTGGCTCATTCCAAACACCTACTGTAGATGTACCGCCCACAGTAGGAACTGGATCTGCCTGTCAAGTCCCCACAAAAACGGTTTTACCAACGTTTTACCTAAGCAACCACGGATACTCCAGCTTTTCAGCTGGTGATATCACTTCCTAACCTTTTGCTAGGCATCTACTAAACCAATGCCTGTGTTTTCTGTGTGTGTCTTATTTTTTAAAGATTTATTTATTTTAGGGGAACCTGGGTGGCTCAGTAGATTAAGCGTCTGCCTTCAGCTCAGGTCGTAATCCCAGGGTCCTGGGATGGAGTCCCACATTGGGCTCCTTGCTCAGCAGGGAGTCTGCTTCTCCCCCTGCCTGCCACTCCCTCTGCTTATACTCCTTCTCTCTCTGATAAATAAATAAGTAAATCTTTTAAAAATCAATTTATTATTTTAGAGAGAGAGCGCGCATGAGAGCCTGGGCAGGTGGAAAGGAAAAAAGGAGAGGGAGAATCCTTGAGCAGACTCCCCGCTGAGCACCCCAAAGCAGGGCTTGATCCCAGTGATGTGGGAAACAAAGACAGATGAAAAATTACTAAATTTCCTTACTACCTATAGCCCATTGACAAGTCCTTGAAACGGGCAATGTGACATTCCTCTAGGGACTCAACTGCCTCGATGTTGACACTTTGCTAAGGGCAAAAGGCCATCTTAGCTTTGACCACCCCCCCTTCCAGGATCCCGGAAGTCAACTTTAACACACAAAAATTCCTTTGGAAATTTCCTTTATCTCTACCCCCGCCAAGATAAGTGTTGACAATCATCCCCCAAGCATGTGGTCCACCGATATACATCTGAAGGGTCTCATGATGAAGGTTTTATTAGATGGTAATAAATGACCTTTTCCCAACAATAGCTAGCCCCCTCGAGGTCTTAGAAACCTTGCTTCCAAAATTCTTTAGAGACTTACATTATCCCTAACGCCTTCCCAACTTGAAAGTATATAATGAGCCACTTCTCATGAGCCCATTGCTGCTCTTTCTGCCCACGGGTCCTGTCCCCGTGCTTTAATAAAGTCACCTCTTTGTACCAAAGATGTCTCAAGAGTTCTTTCTTGCCATCCACTTCAAACCTTAACATTCTTTCCTACATCACCAGGGCCCTGAGATCATGACCTGAGCTGAAACCAAGAGCTGACTGCTTAAACGACTGAGCCATCCAGGCAACCTTTAGGTGTTTTTTTTTTTTTTTTAGATCTTATTTATTTATTTGAGAGAGAGAGAGCTGAGAGAGAGATCACAAGCAGGAGGTAGGAGTAGAGGAAGAAGCAGACTTCCCACCAAGCAAGAGCCCAGTGTGATGCGAGGCTCGATCCCAGGACCCTGGGATCACGACCTGAGCTGAAGGCAGATACTCAACCGACTGAGCCCCTCAGGCACCCTAGGTGTTCATTTTAAATAGCATTCCACTTGAAGGTACCAATTTCTGTATTAGGGTATGTTAAACTAGTTTATTAAGCAAATCCAAAATGCAATAACTTGAAAACAGTAGAAATTTATTTACAACCTGCCTAACAGTCCAGAGACATCTAGGTTAGAATGTTCAAGAGCTGTGTGGCCAGGATGGGGAGGAGGGAGCTCTGCTGCACAGAATTACTGAAGGACCCAGGATGCCATCACCAACACATGGCTTCCAAGGATGTTCCCCGTGTCACCCTGGCAGTCATCCAGAAAAGAAAAAGAGCAAGAAGGTGTAATGGGTCGGGCATCAAAGTGGCTCATATCACTTCTCTTCCCATCCGAGTGGGGAGAAATTAGTTGCATGGCCATACCCAAGTGCAACTCATAGTTCGTTAACTAGTTAGTTAGCAGAGTATGCATTTAGGGAGACAGCTGGCCATCTCCACCACAGAGGTTCTGTTAGGCGGGGTTTCCCGGAGAAACAGAACCAATAGGATACATTATAGAGACAAAGTGAGAGGGAGAGATGGAGAGAGAGGTTAAGGAATTGGCTTACACGGTTCTGGGGCCTGGCAAGTCTCAAGTCCGTAGGTAAGTAAGAATTGACGTGCAGTCCTGAGTCCAAATTCTGCAGGGCAGCAAGCTGGAAACTCGGACAGAGTTTCGATGTTGCGCTCTTGAGGAAAATTCCTCCTGATCTGGGAAACTTCAGTCCACTTTTAAGGCCTTCACCTGCTTGGATGAAGTTCCATTCCCATATCAGGGAAGATCTTCAGCTTTACTCAAAGACTACTGATCATAAACGTTTATCACATCTAAAAAGTACCTGCACGGCAAGTTCTAGAATGGTGTTTGGCCCAACACCTGGGCATCGCAGCCTAGCCAAGCTGACACATGATTTACCCCATCGCAGGGTGCCTGGGTGGCTCAGTCGTTTAAGCATCTGCCTTTGGCTCAGATCATGATCCCAGAGTCCTGGGGTGGAGTCCGGCGTAGGGCTCCCTGCTTGGCCAGGAGTCTGCTTCTCCCTCCACCCCCTCCCCACTTCTTGCAATCTTTATCTCTCTCTCTCAA